GGATGCAAGTAGTGCGTGCACACTTACATTTCACTTTGAATTTTGTGTACGTGCGTGTGTCTGTAAGTCGGCCTCCCATTTATAATCAACAGTGTGCACTAAGGGAAAAGGAGCCAGGATGGGGAGGTTGTGAGACGTAGGCCCCCGGGGGCCGCAGGGGACCTGCACATCGGGGGGGCTCAGAGTGTTTTGCACGCCGAGCTGCATCCAGCCCGGTCCCGCCCACTTCCATAGCGGCGGCCAGCCCGGGGCGCAGCACGACCGAGGGATCCCAGGGGCGAAAAGCTTTGTAATTTAAATCTTAAAGTAAGGTACCGAGCAGCCTAGGAGGGAGGTTGTATGGGAGACCATCCCTGCAACAGAGGATGCCAGCGGGGCGCGAAGCCGACAGATGGAGAGATGGATGGATGGCCAAGGGAGAAGCAAATGAAAGTAGGAAAAAGAGAACGTATGGGAAGGGAAAAAGTAAAGAGAAGGACTGACAGCAGATCTCATCCTCATAGAAAAGGAGAGGGACGGTAGATGTTCGGGGGGACGGGAAGAGAGAAAACTCGGAGCATCGATGAAGCAGATGCTGGACCGGGGCCTGGGCGCCGGGCGGCTACTACAGAGAGGAAGCGAATGATCAGTTCCGATTGATGAAATTATGCCCAAGAGAGCAGCAGCTCTGTCTGTGTGTAACGTAATTAATCCTCTACTGGAAGGCTGCACGGCGGGCGGGGCCACCCGATGGAGAGAGAGAGAGAGGGGGGAAGAGCGGAGGGGTGGTGCAGAGGGAGAGAGAGACAGAGAGACACGCCAATAACATCAAGGGTATCCGAGGATTTCCGCCAGTTAATTGTATCTTCTCAGAAGGAGACAAGTTTCAATAGTATACACACCACTTGCACAGCAGATTGTGCGCAGATTAACAACTCGGGGCGCGGCGCGGCGCCCTCACCAGCGAGCCCCGCCATTCTTTCACGCACCCCCTCACAAGCAGCGGCCCGGGAGGAATAATTGGCATTCGAATTAAGCCTCTTGAAAGAGCGCGAAAGCCCGCGAGAAAGCCATTCCGAGAGCTAAAAAGTAGCCGCAAATTATGATCCCCTTAGAGAACGGGGGATGGAGAGAGGGGTAGGGGGAGAAGAAAGGATGAGACCCGGAAAGATGGAGCAGAGTGGAAGGAGGAGGAAGGGGAAGAAAGAAGAGAAAGTGAGAGGGCGGGATGTTAGAGATTCGCGTAAGTCGGCGCCTCGGTCGGCGCAGTACCTATATAGGGACTTTGATGGGTAACAGGGCAAGGGCTACATTTGTAAAAGAAAAAGAGAAGGATGACAGGACAGAGAGGGTCAGAGAAGCAAAATTATTCTAGAGGTATAGAAGGCGAGGGAGGGGGGTGGGGGAGGCCCAAGTTTGCTGCTTCCAACAGCTTTATTGCCGACAATATCGCCATGACCGGCGCTCATTCTCGTGGCAACTTATGAGAAGGGAGGATCACACAATGAGATTGTCAGCGAGAGGGAAAGAGGAGGGGGAGTCAATGAGCTGGAACCACTCCCGTCTCTGAATTATCGGCGCCGCACTCACCGGGTACACTTTGACGGGCTTCTTGAGCCGCCGATACTCCTGGTAGTTGAAGTCGTAGTTGTTGTCCGCGGTGATGGGCTGCAGCTCCTCGCCGCCGCGGATTTGGCGGAACCGGACCTTGCGACCTGCATCGACGAGAAAGCAAGAAAGTTAGAAAAACCGTTCCACGGCATAGTGGGGCGCGTACCGTTCAGTACCACTCGACTAGGAGCGAGGGAGGGTACAATTATGGCCCGATTGGGCACTTGGGGCTGTTCAGGAAGCCTCGTGGACTTTATTGGGAGTACAAATATTATGAGGTTCTAATAGGGTCAGGACGGTCATCGGAGGCCAAAGCGGGGCCATGATATTTCTACCACAGGGTATAAATATCACGGGCTCTCCACGGACTCCACAGACCATCCTCATTTTGGGACACCATGATTTTCGTAACCCCCCTTAAGGTCCACGTGGTTTCTGCACAGCCCCAAGTGCCTATCGAGGCGTCATCATGGGGTGGAAACAGATGATTGCTTGGTACTCACCGATGAGGTGCGTGTGCAGCAGCGTGGCGAACACGTTGATGCCCTGGGCGGGCAGCGCCTGGCGCGTGCAGTCCGCGATGCAGTGGCCCTCGCTCACCACCTCGGGCCTGCCGGGCGGGATGATGTGCCTCCAGTTGGGGTCCAGCCCCACCGAGATGACGCCCGCGTCGTAGCGCCGCAGCGTGGGCGTGTAGAAGATGCGCACGCCGGACGAGTCCACGATGCCCGGGTCGATGTTGGGGTTGTTGTAGTGCGTCTCCATCATGTAGAAGCGCGCCCCGGAGCTGGGGTCCAGCGGGTAGCCGGCCTCGGACGGGAAGTTGAAGCCCTGCAGAGGACAGAGGGTTCACAGTCAGAATCTCTCAAACACTTTGTACATATCGCATTACAGCGTCGCATTTGACAAAAAAAGGGAAGAAAAAAAACAAAAAAAAAACTCGCCGTACACAGATGAAACGAGTTCGTTTTGAGTGCCAAAGTCTGACTGTGTAAAGTGAATTCTCGCCTGGACACGTATATTTTCCCACCGGCTTGAGCCGTGTAAGTTTTAACAAGATGCGACTCCTCCGGAGGAGAGGATTTGGGTAAACGACCGTCAAAGATAAAAGAAAAATAAAGAAAAAAAGAGCGCCGCCCGCGCACGCGTTGCAGACAATTTGTTTCGAGATAAATCGAATACGGGGACACCTTCGAGGTGAATATCCGGCGGCGCTGGGGGGCCACGCCGTGAGAACGCCGTCCCGATCCTCCTCCGCAGCCCTTTGATTTTATTTATTTTTCTTTCTGTCCCTTCACAATGACCCTTTCTTCAGCCCCCTCCGGAGAGCTGGAGGGAGAGCCCCTTCACAATGACCCTTTCTTCAGCCCCCTCCCCCTCCCCCATAACAGCCCCCCCCCTCAACCTCCTCTTTTCCCCAGTCGGCCTTCTTTCCCGATTCTTTTGCAGAAAGTAATTCAATTCTTCGGAATGCGTGACGCTGCGCCAGTGATTCCACGTATATATTTTACAAAACTTTTCGTCAGCCCAAGTTAAGTAAACGCGCTCCAACTGATTGCCATCTCGGCGACGAGGGGCGCGTCCGAAACGTTTCGCACGACATCCCCGGGGAGTGGGGAGGGTTTTTGGAGAGGAGTTGTATATAGTCCAGCCCCCTCCCCCTTCCCAAATCCCGGTCGGCATCGCGAGGCGTTTTCGGAAGCGTCCGCCGAGAGTGCGGGACGGGGCGCTCGGACAAATCTAACCAAACGGCCGCGACCCGAAAACCCCCATTTGGCCTCGCCGCGCCGACAGACTGGAGCCTCGCACTGGAAATACCAGACTGGTATCTCAGAGAGCTCCGCGAGCACTTGGAGCGCGACCGGAGGGATTCTACTGGAACCGCCTGGAACCGCAAGGCGAGGAGGTGCCGGCCGACCAGCCTTGCAGATGTTGCCGATTGTCGCATTAGGGAGTACACGGCGCGCACACACAGACGCACACACACACACAGGCGGGCACGCATGCCTGCTTGCATGTTCTCCGCATGCGGTCGCCTGCACGCAAGCACAAGGTGTCTCTGAATACGTGTACACGCGCGTGCGTGCTCACACGTGTGAGACTGCG